ATCCTTCTGTATCTTAAGCCTGTCTTCTGGAGTGTTGGCTATTCCTGCCAGCTTGGTGTCATCTGCAAATTTGATGAGTTCCCCATTTATACCCTCATCCAAATCATTGATGAAGATGTTGAAGAGTACTGGGCTTTTGATAGCTTTATTTCTTCACACACGCACACACACACACACTCCCTTTTCATCATTCTTCATAAACCTCTTTGGTATGTAATCACGGTTAATCCTGACTGATCACCCACATGGCTCTTTTTTCCTCTGCGAGGAGAGTTGAGCGATGAACAGTTAATGATGGTTTTTTTTCCCTTGGTGGGTTTTCCCCTGTAATCATGATAGATATTTACCGGCCTCAGATTTCTCATTCGTCTTGCGCGCATGCTGTCCAACACGCGGGGACAACGGCGCGTGGAGAACCAGCCTCGTTCCTCCCCTCCTAAGTCATTAATATCACTTTCCAACCACCTGTCCAGGAGACAAATGGTGGCCCCTTTGCCGGCTGAGCGAGGGCAGGAGATTGAGGAACAAGGCCTATCAACATTCCGGAGACAGAGTAAGAGAGTCGGAAGGGAGCTTGGAGGTCTTCTAGTCCAGCCCCCTGCTCAAGCAGGAGACCCTTGGTGCAGGGAAAAGAGGCTGGCTCTGTAAACCGCTTAGAGAGGGTTGTGAAGCGGTGCATAAGTCCTATTGCTATCAGTTTTCCTTGGCCCTTTAGTAGATCAGGTTTTTGGATATCGGTAGCACGTAATAAACTCACAAGTGGTTTGAACCCAGCTCCTATTCCTGGTTTCTTGGGCCTGGCATTATCCTGCCTTGATGCACACAGTGCTTCCTCCTTCTATTTTCAACCCCAATCCTGGGCAACAAGGGCCTGTCGTTCTCCGGCCCCTCCAGCAGTCGAATCAGAGGAGGAGATGTGGGAATCAGGGCAACCGAGGGGGCAACCGAGGGGGAAGAGGGAATAGAGCTGGCAGAGAGAGAGAGAGGCAGAGGTGGAATCTGGGCCGTCCATCAGCCCTCCGATGGAGAGTTAACAGCCCCCGAGTCTAGAGGTGGCTGATGAGGAAGAGGAGGAACAGCTGGGTCCAGTACGTGATGTGCGGATGCACAGAAGGCAAAGGAGAGGAGAACAGTGAAAATCAATGGGCCGGTCCTTGGGACAGAAGAGCCATTGCAGCTAGTGAAGCCTCACCCTAGCTCTGGGAATCAAAGGCAGGGGGCAGAGATGAATAGATGTAGCAGAGGAGAGGAGAGGAGAGCAGTGGAAATCTATGGGCCGGTCTTTGGGACAGAAGACCCACCGCTGCTAGCGAAGCCCCCACCTTAGCTCTGGGGATCAAAGGCCAGCGGTAGAGATGAATAAATGTGGCAGAGGAGAGGAGAGCAGTGGAAATCTATGGACTGGTCCTTGGGACAGAAGAGCCACTGCAGCTAGTGAAACCCCACCCTATCTCTGGGGATCAAAGGCAGGGGGCAGAGATGAATAGATGTAGCAGAGGAGAGGAGAGCAGTGGAAATCTATGGACTGGTCGTTGGGACAGAAGACCCACCGCTGCTAGCGAAGCCCCCACACTTGCTCTGGGGATCAAAGGCAGGGGGCAGAGATGAATAGATGTGGGAGAGGAGAGGAGAGCAGTGGAAATCTATGGGCCGGTCTTCGGGACAGAAGATTCACCGCTGTTAGCAGAGCTCCACTCTTGGTCTGGGAATCAAAGGCCGGTGGCGGAGATGACTAGATGTGGCAGGCAACTATTCATCTCCCGGACGGACGGACTTGTTAGCCTGCATTGAGAGATAAACTTCAATCATTGCTCCAACTACAGAAGGAGCTGGGTCAGAACAGCTTCGTTGGAGGAGTAGGACCGGGCCGAAATACTACGTAGATCTGTGATCTAATCCAGAACGGACCATTAAGAATGACGCAAAGACATCTTACTTCTCCCTCCTCTCCATCCACCGCTGAAGACAGTTCTCCTCCCCCCCTCCCTTCTTCATTCTACCTCTCCTGGAATGAGGTTTTGATTTGCTCTCCTCCCTTCCCCGTCCCTTTCCCCCCCCCCTGTCCCTCCCCTCATCCTCTGTCCCTCGTGCCTTTCCCAGCAGGAAGGCTGATCCATAAAGAAATCCAAAGAGTTATTTGCAAGCGTTTGGAGATCGAAGCGAGAGCGGGGGCTGGCCTTTTCCCGCGCCGCCGTTCTCGTGGCTGAGGCTTTCATTAGCTTCCTGGCTTATAAATGCTTTTATTAACGATTTCTGCCTTTCGTAGCTGAGCGCCCGGCGTTAATGAGGAAAGCAGGTGAGAGAAATTTCGGGGAAGCACGAGGTTCCTGTCAGGGGCCACCGGCAAGGTGGAGGAAAACGCGAGAAATGCACAGGTGGCTTGCAATCCTCTTTTTTTTTTTTTGGCAATCTCATTTTAAAAAAGAAGAGGGGGTTCGTTTTTCATAACTCTGAGGTTTTTCTGTAGAAGCTGCCCTCCTCCCCCCTTTCTCCAACTCCTTCGAATATTAATTTCCAAATTATTTTCGGATTTCTTACACCCTCAGAAAGACGAAGTGTGGGCAGTTATATCACCTGCTTTTTTCCTTCTCTTTCTCTCTCTTTCTCTCTTTCTCTCTCTCTCTTTATCTCTTTATCTCCCTCCCTCTCTCTCTCTCTTTCTCTCACTCTTTCTTTCTCTCCTTCTCCCTCTTTCTCATTCTTTCCCTGCCTCCCTCTCTCTTTCTCTCTTCTTCCCTCCCTCTCTTGCTCTTTCTCTCGCTCTTTCTTCCTTTCCCTCTCTCCCCCTCCTCTCTCACTCTCTCACTCACTTTCTCTCTTTTTTCTCTCTCTCTTCCTCCCTCCCTCTCTTTCTCTCTCACTTTCTTTCTCTCCTTCCCTCTCTTTATTTCTCTCCCTCTCTCTATTTCTCTCTCGCTCTTTCTTTCTCTCCCCCTCTCCTCTCTTTCTGCCTCTCTCTCTTTCACTCTCTCCTCTCTCTCTTTCTCTTTTGTTCTTTCTCTTTCAATCTCTCTCTCTTTCTCTTTTGCTCTTTCTCTCGCTCTCACTCATCTCTCTTTCTCTTTCTGTCTCTATTTCTGTCTGTCTCTCTCTCTCACACTTTCTCTCACTCTATTTTTCTCTATCTCCCTCCCTCTCTGTCTCTCTCTCTCTCTCCCTCTCTCGCTCTTTCTCTTTCACTCTTTCTTTTTCTCCCCCTCTCTCTCTCCCTCTCTCCTCTCCCTGTCTCTCTCTTCTCTTTCGCTCTCTCTGTCTCTCTCTCCTCTCTCTTTCTCTCTTGCTCTCTTTCTTTCCCTCTTTCTTTCTCTCTCTCTCTCTCCCTCCCCCCCGCTCTCTCTCCCCCTTTATCAGGGACTGGGGCCACTAGAAAAGCCTTCCTACGCAAAATACTTTGCAAAGGATTTGCTGACATATTGGAAGAAGACTCAAAGGGGTGACAGAGCTAAAAAATAATGGATAGGTATCCAGGAATCAGGCAACACCTGCCTTAAATATGCTATAGCCTGAGCACAAAATGCATTAATTCCTTTATGGCAGGGGGGGGGGGAGAGAAGAGAGAGAGAGAGAAACCCATAAAAATCCAGCTGCCAAAAATGTGTGTGTGTGAGGGAAAGGGAAGGAGGGAAGGAGACAGAAACTCACACAAATCCAGCTGCCAAAAAAAATGGGGGAAAGTGACTGCACCAAACTTGTGACTGCTTTAAAAATTAGCCCTGAGTTGGGGAAAGCCCAGGAATGACGGGGACAAGAGGAAAATTAGCTTTCTCGAGTGGCATTTTAGAGTGGGGACACAAGTAGCTCTCAACAACAGTTCACTTAGCGACCAATCCCTGATCGCCGTGTGCATCGCTGTCTCTTTTTGTGTCCCCGCAGAACAAGCACGAAGAGAACCTGGAATCTGGGGAAGACCCCATCCTCAGCAAACGTCACAGCCGGTCCCTGATGGGAAGCTTGACCAAACGCAAGGTGACTCATTTGTCCACTCACACTTGGCCAATAAAGAATTCTATTCTTTCCTCCACATTCTATGTTCTGTTTCTGTATCTATTCTATTCCTATTTATTTTCTATTCTATTCTATTCTATTCCTTAATCTATTCTATTCTATTTTCTATTCTATTTTCTATTCTATTTTCTATTCTATTTTCTATTCTATTTTCTATTCTATTCCATTCCATTCTATTCTATTCTATTTTCTATTCCAT